CCACAGGGCTCTCCACAGACACAGAACTCTCCATAAACTCAGAACTCTCCACAGACACAGAGCTTTCCACACCACAGAACTCTCCACAGACACAGAGCTCTCCACTGACACAGGGCTCTCCACAGACACAGAGCCCTCCACACCACAGAACTCTCCACAGACACAGAGCCCTCCACACCACAGAGCTCTCCACACCACAGAACTCTCCACAGACACAGAGCCCTCCACACCACAGAACTCTCCACAGACACAGAGCTCTCCACAGACACAGTGCTCTCCACAGACACAGAGATCCCCAGGCCACATAGTTATCCACACTACAGAGCCCTCCACACCACAGAATTCTCCACAGACACTGAGATCTCCTCAACACAGAGCTGTCCACTGACACAGGGCTCTCCACAGATGTAGAACTCTCCACAGACACAGAGCTCTCCACACCACAGGACTCTCCACAGACTCAGAACTCTATTCTCCACAGACTCAGAGATCCCCAAGCCACATAGTTATTCACACTACAGAGCTCTCCACACCACAGAACTCTCCACAGGCACAGAGCTCTCCACACCACAGAACTCTTCACGCCACAGAGCTCTCCACATACACAGAGCTCTCCACAAACACAGAACTCTTCACGCGACAGAGCTCTCCACATACACAGAGCTCTCCACACCACAGAACTCTTCACGCCACAGAGCTCTCCACATACACAGAGCTCTCCACATACACAGAGCTCTTCACACCACAGAGCTCTCCACATCACAGAGTTCTCCATAGACACAGAACTCACTCTCCACACAACAAAGCTCTTCACATCACACAGTTCTCCACATACACAAAGCTCTTGACACCACAGAGCTCTACTCACCACAGAGCTCTCCACAGACATGGGGCTTTCTAAACCACAGAGCTCTCCACTGAGACAGAGCTCACCAGACCACAGAGCTCTTCACATACACAGAACTCTTCATGCCACGGACCTCTACACACCACAGACCTCTCCACAGACATAGAGCTCTCCACACCATAGAGTTCTACATACCACAGAGCTCTCCACACCATAGAGCTCCCTATGCCACAGAGTTCTCCACACCACACCGATCTCCATACAACAGAGCTCTCCACAGACACAGAGCTTTCCACAGACATAGAGCTTTCCACAGACAGAGATCTCCACCCCACAGAGCTCTCCACATACACAGAGCTGTTCACACCACAGAGATCTCCAAACCACCGAGTTCTCCATAGACACAAAACTCTCCACATACATAGAGCTCTCCATACTACAGAGCTCTTTACATCACAGAGCCCTCGACACCAATTAGGTCTCCACATACACAGAGCTCTCCACACCACAGCGCACTCCACACCACAGAGCTCTCCACACCACAGAACTCTTCACACTACAGAGCTCTTCACATAAACAGAACTCCACAACACAGAGCTCTTCACACACACAGAGCTCTTCACACACCAGAGCTCTTCAAAACACAGAACTCTTCACAGACACAGAAGTCTTCACAGACGTATAGCTCTCCACAAACACAGAGCTCTCACACCTCAGAGCTCTCTACAGACACAGAGTTTTTCACATAAACAGAACTCTTCACAACACAGAGCTCTCCACACCACAGGACTCTCCACAGAGAACTCTCCACAGTCACAGAGTTCTTCACACCAGAGTTCTTCACATAAACAGAACTCTCCACAACACAGAGCTCTCCACAGACACACAGCCCTCCACACCACAGAGCTCTTCACACCACAGAGCTTTCCATATACAAAGAGCTCTTTACACCGTAGAGCTCTCCACAACACAGAGTTCTCTACACCACAGAGGTCTCAACAAACACAGAGTTCTTCACAACACAGAGTTCTCCACAAACACAGAGATCTCCATACCACAGAGCTCTTGACAACACAGAGTTCTACACACCAAAGAGCTTTCCACAGACACAGAGCTCTCCACACCACAGAGCTCTCCAC